TATTATATATAAAACAAAAACTATGCTTTCCCTTGTTCGACAGCTTGTTATATTTGTTTACCTCAGAAATGCTCAACGATTTTGTTTTTCTTTTTGAGGCCATACCGTTAAGAACGTTCGAACGTATCAGCGAAATAACAGATTACAGCGTTATATTTTTATTCCCCTCTTTCATATTTATGATAATTGGCAACATATTTTCTTTAAAACATACAGTTGCTGTTGATACCGGCGGTTTTTTTCTGGCTGTAAAATGGTAAAAATCTTAGCATGGAAGGTTTTTAATTGCAAACAGGCCAAGTCGGTTTCGCCTTTAAAAGACTACCCCGAGAAACCGGTAGATCGAGGGACGACATCGTCCCCGAGTCCGTGTATCAAGTGTTGTTTTATGCTTTCTCCCCAGATCTGTCGGCTCCACCTAGAATCGGATAAAACCGAGCGGAAATCTCTTTTCGGTTAACCCTCGGAAAAGCCGATAAACGCGTGAAAGCCCTGAAAAACGATTCGCCGCGAGGGGGTAACCAATCTCCTTCTACACTTCACTAAACAGAAATGAAGGCTATGATTTAATCAATTCACTAGTTTACGTGGTCCGCTTGACCAATTAATATCTCTCAGTTAATTAAGGTTTTTAGTTGAGATAAAAAGTCAATGTCACGAGCGGGATTCGAACCCACGACCTTCTGCTAGGTAGCCGATACTCTACCACCTGAGGTACCGTGACTTCGAACCACTCGGACACCAACTTTCCATCTCAAGGTTTTTGTTGAGATAAAAAAGTCAATGTCACGAGCGGGATACGAATTGACTATTGGTTTTTTTATCTCCTTGAGATGGGAAGTTGGTGTTCGAGTGGATCGAGGTCACGATAGCTCAAGTGGTAGAGGGCGGCGTATCTAGCCCAATGTCGTGGGTTCGAATCCCGCTCGTGACATTAACTTTTTTATCTCAACTAAAAACCTTAATTAATTGAAAGCTATGATTTAAGTAAATCATAAACTTAAATGCTGGCAATTTCACCAAACATTGTTTGTTCGTTGTTTTTTTTCGTGACAGGGAATGAAATGGTGATTATACAAACATAATTAGAATTCCATTTGCATCTTTAAACATCTTCGATTACAATTATTTAGTGAATTCAGAAGAAGTTATTAATTAACAATTAATTTATACTCTGTGACCTCATTTCTTTTCTCCATGTTGTCTCCAGGGCGATCTTCCTGAAATTTGTTCGTTTTCGATCATTTTGGTCTACCTATCCTGGCTGGTTTGACCTGTCAGACACATGTAGTTATTTCACCATCTTCAGTGTGTCTGTTAGAGTTTTTATGCAAATTATTCCTTTAACAAAAGTAACTCTTCCATTTACTTGGATTTGAACCTTTTTCCTCGGAGATATTTTGATCTTTAATTTTATTTAAAAAAATCGTGTTAATGGTAATAAAACGGCTTGATTAATTTAGCATATTAATCCATATTTGTTTAGTGGTCATAATTGACCATATTAATTATTCCAATTAATTATTCTTTTCACCTCAACCAAAGCCTTAGATGAAAAGAATAATTATTTAGCATATTTCTTATTGATGCCTGCTGGGAGATGAACCTGTAATTTGATATTGTCCAATTTGGTCTACCGCACTTTTGGCCTGTTAGTCAGAAGAATTGTATTAATCCACCATCTTTAATTTATGTTTGCATTTGTGATACACTATTTATATCCATTACCCTCAATATATTACTAAATATTATTACGATCTTTGCGTGAATCCCCTTCACACGAAGCAACTCGTTTCCTTACGAGTGTAAAATGAAAATGAAAAAAATATCTGTGCCACAAACTCAAACAAATCAATCGGAAAAAGACAAAAATCGGGACCTGATCCAAATAAATTATAACAAAAACCTTCAAAAAAATAAATGTATTCAGATTTAAAAAAAGGTGATCTATTACAAACGCAACTAATTCCTTGCCATTTACAAAAAAAGAGCAGGTGCCTTCAAATAACTTAAGACTGAGTCCTTCCTCGTCCTTTGGTTCTCGCACTGCCGAGCTTGCGGTTGGGGATTAGCTTATCCTTTGAAATAAGCTCCTCGTTTTTGAAAATATTGTTATAATATAAACCCAACAGTGAAGATGACCGAAACGCGTCTGAAAGACCAAACCAGTGTGGACCAAAATGATAGACAACTACCAAATTAAAGATTAAACCTTTTTACACGCATTTAACATACAAAATATCATTCGTGATAATAAACAGATGTACATAATATTTACACTCCCGTTAAAAAGACAAAGTGAAAGTCAGGAAAACAAGAATTCCCGAGCAAAACGTCTTGCAAAACGTCTCAAAGCATACAAAATCACCCAGCATAAACAATCGATAAGGAAAAATTGGATTTAAGTAAAACGTCACATAGCCGAGTTCCCGTTAATTGAAAAAGAATTTGCAAGGTGGTCTTGTTAATGTATGACACTGGAAAAGAGCACAGTTTTGTCATCGCCATTTTCTTCGGCGTCAAAGGGGCTTTTGACTCTGCCGAATAGACATTATTGCCTAATAAGCTCAAAAGGAAAAGACTGCCCAAGAAACATCTTAGCGTCATTTCTAGTTACTTTGAAGACAAGGTAGCAGAAATAATAACTAAGCACATCAATTTAAAAAAAAATCAAAGGCTGTCCACAAGGGTCAGTTTTGGGGCCTGTTTTTCAACAAAAAAAACCAGTCTCTTAGAAAAATTTGAAGCATTCGCTGCACACTACAACCTGGTAAACCTCATATAGGCCGATACCAAAAGACACAAAAGGCAAGTCGAAGAAAAGGCCGAAAGTATTTTAGGGGAAAAAGAAAAATGATGTAAACAGGCCAAGTTACAAATCGCCCCTGATGAGTGTCACTCACTAATGTTAAAAAGTAAGCACACCTGAAGTAAAAATAGAGGGTAAGCGTATTAAACTAAGCGAAAAGGAAACATACCTCGGGATAGAGATAGAGAAGTTAAACCCTGCTCCCCAAGCCATAAAAATAAGAGAGAGCACCCGGCGTACTGTAAACTGGGTGGAATAGCGAGAATGAAATGAGGATACAGCCGAAAAGCCCACGATGTACAAGCGTGTACTTTCGGAAAGGCGGCGTGGACGTGAAAATAAAAAGCAGTACTAGAAACATCCTTTCGAAGAACCAGCGGTGTTTTTAGCCGAGGGTCGTGGGTTCGAATCCCGCTTGTGACACTGACTTTTTTTATCTCAACCAATACCTTATATAAAGATTAATTAATTGAAAAACGTTATTCGGTCAATCGGACCACGAACTCTAATAAATTTAATAAATAAAATGAAGTATATCTTCACGAAAGCTCTCCGTGGTCATTTTATTTGTCGCCGAGAATCGATTAGATTACACGACATTTGAAAAATGTCAAAAAAAAGGTTGAGATGGGAAGTTGGGAAGTTAGTGTCTGAATGGATCAAAGTCACGATAGCTCAAGTGGTAGAGCAGCGGTGTTTTTAGCCGAGGGTCGTGGGTTCGAATCCCGCTTGTGACAATGACTTTTTTTTTATCTCAACCAATACCTTATATAAAGATTAATTAATTGAAAAACTATGAACTAGATTATCGACCTGCTGGATACAAGAAGTCTNTTTTAGCTATAATTTTTAATTGTTAATGTATTCCATTTAAATCAATATTTAGGTGCTGAGCCGAAAAAAACATAATGTACTTCTGTGCCCAAAACACCATGTTGTTTAATTTCCTATTAAGGTTTTAAAGTAAGATATCCAATTATTGTTGTAATTATTGCTTTTTCATGTTTTAGTTGTTTGTTTATATGATAATAAAACAGGCCCTGAAGATGACAGTATAAAACTGTCGAAAGCTCGGCGAAAACCGTAAGGAAGTTTTCTCTGTTTTGACCTCTTCCGAAGATCCTCTGAAAAGACTAATTGAAAAACGTTATTCAGACAATCAGACCACGTACTCTAATGAATTTAATAGTCCAAAATGTTAATAAAACGCTCAAATATTCCACAAATTTTACTGTTACTCACAAGAACACTTTTTTCTGGAGGCCATTTAAACCAGAGGTTACCACTGGTCTTATAAGACGCTCTTTCCGCTTCAAAAAGTCTGCAATAAAGATGATCCCATGACTGAGAGGTTGTTGGATCACAAGGGCAACTTGCATTGGCAGAATATTAAATCGATAATGATATGCTCTGTTTTTCCATGATCTGACAACACTTGAGTCACCTTGTAGCTTATCGCAATGTTACACTTGACTTTTGCCCCTACAGTTGGAAAAAATTCTTTAGTGACCATGCCTTTCCCTGTTGCTGGCCAAATTTGTTCCCACTTTTGTAGCTCCCTCTGTTTTCTGCGTTCTATATAAGTTTTCGGAACAACTTCGAAGGATACCTGCAAATTCTCATCTTCCAATGCTTGTTTCGCCAAAAATCAGCTCTTCCGTTACCTACTTCACCAGTGTGAGCCTGGACATTACTGAAGCAATGTAGTCATTTTTGCATTATTTGTAAATGGGATACTAGCAAGGGGAGATCCATTTAGGATACCCCATTAGGAAAAGAAATACAAAAAAGAAACAACCCCTTTTAGACAGGGAGGACCTGAGGAAGTCGTTAAGTATTAAAAGCTTGTTTGAAAATTTTTAGATACTTGGCGCAGTCCGCCGGTATAGTCTTCCCGGTTCGGCGAGTTGGTCGGTGGGCAAATATAAAAAAAAGGTCGTTCAAAAACTATCTTGTAGCCTAGAATCTTTAAGTTCGAAGACGTACAATTTAAGGGTACTGCAGACACTTCTGTGCGTTTTGGAACATTATGTTGAACGTTCTTTTTGTATGATCAATTATCCAAATACCACCGGAGTTTAATTTACACCGAAATTTTGGTGTTAAAACTTGCTTCTTCGGACCTCTCATCTCCGATTTTACCTATTATTATAAACTGGTCGTTTATGTATTTAACAAACTTTTTTTTCAGGGTAACAGCACATCGACAAGTGGTGCCCGCCAGCTGTCTCTAAAAGAAGTGAATGACATCCTCGGCAGAAATTACAGGAGTCTCGTCCGCCTGTTCAACACCGAGTTCAGGAAGGCTGTTGCCGTCAGTTGAAAGCCAAAATTAAAAATACAATTCAAAAACCCAATTAACTACTTTTTAATTTCCATTTTTTCTCTTAATTAATACCACTCTAAAGTTGAATTTACGGACTTCGGCCTTATTTATAATTCGGTTCTTTTTTCAGGATTCGAACAAAAACGTCGGCCTGTACCGCAAGGAGTTCAGGGACGCGATCCGGCCGTACTTCACCGGAGGCGCCTTCACCTCGACGACGACGCCCAGGACCACAAGCTGACCGCGGGCCCGAATTGCTCAATAAATCGTAGTGCCAATAAAAAAAATAAAAAATAAAAATAAATGGAGCTTATAGACATTGCGGGTGTCGCTTTGAGAATTCACCCATCGGCTTGGCTGATGGTTTTTTTCTCAGTGTGACCAGTAAAACGTTGTTATAGACTAGTCTCGTTTCAAAAAAATTATTTAATTTAATAATCTATTTATTAAAAGAAATAATTTTATTTTTTGTGTGAACCTCAAATAATTTTTTTCTGAGAAGAATCAAGAGTTGGCCTATAAGACCTACAATAAAGAATCAAACTTATTTTAAAAAGTTCATTTATTTGTAAATAAATTATTTTATACTTTCTGAACTTGTTAGTACATGATGATGATTATTCCTTCTTTTATTTCCTATTATTTATAAGGATTTAAGATGAAATCAAAATTGTAATTCACCCTATGTCATTTCAACTAGCAATAATTTCATATCATAAGTTCATTAATTATGTGCGATCTGTACTAAGCTCTCTGTATCAGGAATACAGTCTGTAAAAGGCCCACAAAGAATCTGAATTATGAATCATTCTCACTCAGCGAGATACTTTTGACTTAACTTATAGCTACTTTTAGAGGAATATTCCTTAAATGAAGTAATGCAGGGGTCTCCACTAAAATTAAGGTAAGATAGAGTTGTGTATTCAGCTCCATTTTATTTCCTTTTCTTGGATGTCTTCAAAATAGGAAATGTCGTAAAAGTTTTAGTGTATGTGTGTGTTTCTTAGCGGCCTGTTGTTTCATAATTTGTTGAAGTCGTGAGGAGCAGTCAAGAATGAGATAGTTTAGAAAAACATCTATTTCATTTTTCATGATTCAGGGTCATCCTCAGGGCATTAAGTGTGGTGTTATTCTTGTGGTATCATATTGGTGTTGTGTAAAAGTGCCGTGAGACACTGTTTGAGAGAGACTTGCTTCATAGCACTGTTACACAACACCAATATGACAACACAAGAATAGCGCCACAATTTATGCTCTTAAGATGACCCGAATAAAGTTCGAATCATCGGCAAAAACATGAAAAAGGTGTTTTTCTAAACTATCATTCTTGACCGCTCCTCACGACTTAAACAAATTGTTTTATTGTACGTTGATGTCGTCGTAATCATGGCCGATTGTTTGTTGAAGTACTGCAGAAAAACTGGTTAATCTTGAAAAAGCGAAGATCATGATTTTTACAAGAGGTAGTACGCTAAGGTCCTATGATCATTGGTTCTTTAAGGGAAATTTTATAGAGGTTGTAAAAGAATACAAATACCTAGGTGTCACCCTTATTCCCCGTTTAAGTCTCACCAAAAGTTTGAAACAAAAAGCCTCTACTGCCATCCTAGTAAATTGTCGCCATAAATGTTATGTATAAATTTTGTGTTATGGCTGCCAGATGATGGGCTACAAGTTATTTGAAATAGAAAAAGTACAGAGGCCATTTATTAGGAAATTACTTGCACTGACCACCCTACCTCCCTACCTAATTGTATGGTGAATTTAGAGACTTCTGCTGACCTGGTTAACCTTCTCACCTTAAAACTTCACTTTTCCTACCTTTTCGAAACGATTTTTCAAAGCAGGGTTCAACAGCTAAACAAATTATAAAAAATACTGATTCCCCATTGAAAATCAACCAGAAGCAGTGAACAACTAAGTTGGTTCATCTTGCTGACTGGCTTGGTCTATTTTATATCCATTCTTTTTAACAAAAATAAATCATTGGTGTAGAGATATATGCCTCCAATGTGCTCACTCATCTGAGAATTTTTCTTCATTCGAAACCTTCTCTCATAGCTTCCCAAAGTTTAGCACAAATGTACAAGAGATAACTATCAAGGCTCAAAAACTTTCCAAATTTTGGTGGTTAGCAAAACTCAAGATGTAAACTTCTTAATTTAAATTCAGCTTTGTGGTTAAGGAGTAAGAGCTGCTCTACATGCAATTCGTGACTGAATGCACTATTGGGGGAGTTACAAATGTTACAAAAAAATAAAAACATATATAAAATAAAAATAAAACTTTTTTGTCCTCTTTAATATCGAGTATATTTCCACCTCTGGCACGAATCACATCCGTTAAACACCTTTACATTCCTTGGAAAAGATTTATGATAAAATCCTGAGGAATGTAGGAAGACCCACCGTGGTATACCACCTGAAGAACCTTACAGCATGGTCTGTACGTTCTCCGAATGAAATTAAGTCCATCAGAAGATTTGAGGCCAACTCTCACCTCATCTGAAGAAGAACCCGTCTCCTATCTTCCAAAGTCCAATTCACATGTTCCCGTGAGAATTGAAGGCATGTCTTTTCTGAGCTGTGGTAAAAAGAGGTCCACGAGTCGGATGCAAGTCATGGAGGAAATCGAAATATTTCGGGCTTGTCTTATCAGATTTCCTATCTCATTTCCCGTAATTCTGCGGTTTCGAAGAATCTGTGATGGCGGATGAATCTATCGTCTCTCTCGACCTAGGTCGACCTTTTTCTGGCTCCAGTGTGAAGCCTTGTTTCTCTAAAGTGCCGAAGAACCCTTTCCATTGATGATTCACATTACAACTTCATGCTGGCCATATCCTTCCTGTAAAATGTTATGACCCTGACTCTTTCATACTCAAACGCCTGACTGTAGCCATTGAAAAAGGTTTAAAACATCGAAGGAAAAATATTAGCTGAAAGCGATCTTAAGGTGTATCAGAATGAAATAATGTGACTTTTTGTGCAAGTGGGATTCGTCAGTACAAAAGTAAATAAAGGAAGTAAACAAAGCATTATTCACCGTTTATTTTGAACATCCTCTCTCTTAGCTTCCAAAATGTTTGATAGACATAATTTCCAAAGCTCAAAACTTTCCAAATTTTGGCGGTTCGCAAAACTCAAGATATGAAGTTCTTCATTTGAATTCAGCTTTGTGGTTAAGGGGTAAGAGTACTACATGCAACTCAAGATCAACCAAAACCATATAACACTTCTTGACTGAAAGCACTACTAGGTGAGTTACGAATGTTATATCTAGGGTTTTTCACCTTCAAAGAATCTAATCCATTTTTTGAATGGTTCGAATCCATGAGTGGTCTATGAGGTTGTCCAACAATTCAAATGTTTGATAGCGAATGTACACTTTTTTCCTAAGAAAATTTAAATTAACAATTTCCTTCTTATTTTCTCCACTTTCCTCCAAGAAACTCTATTTAATTTAATTTATATGTTTAATCTTAAGTTGATCCATGACAATTTTAAATTTCACCAATTACATATTGCAAATAATGTTACAGATTGTAATAAGTATACTAAACACAAAAAATCTTAAATTGCATTTGCCTTTTAACGGAATTTTAATTTAATTTTTTTTAAATATATATGTTTTCTCACCTACAACCTCCAGCAGACGATTTTGAAATCCATGTATTTAAATATATCATGTACATAATAAAGCATATTCTATATATTTATCACTCGACTCATTACAGGAAGTTACTCGGTGTTCTTCAAAATTGAAGGTTGTCTTTCCTTGGTCCATGCACACAGAGCAAATAGGAATGTAATTTGACATGAGATTACTTTGCCACAGCAGAAAGTCTTTGGGTCCCATGTTTTAATTTTGGAGAGAATGGATGTTTAATAAATTTAATGTTCAATAATAGCCATAATACATTTTTTTATGTTAAATGCATTGTAAAAGTTAATGTATCTGCAATGGTAGTGTGAAAGGGTCAAAAGCAGAATATTGAGTACCCAACCTTCACTTAGTCGTATGGTTTTAAGAGGTGGTAGAGTAAAATATCCCTAAAAGTAGGTGAATGGAATTAATATTTGGAAAAATATATTTAGAAATGATTAAGGGTATGAATATGTATAAAGATGTTAAAACCTATGTGTTGGTGGCTGAAAGACCTAGGAGTTGATACCCTAGAAGTCACCTACAGTGGGCTGGATGGACATGACCTAGGTCTAATATGGACTGTTAGATTTTTCTGTCTGTTGATAACATGTAATTTGGCTGTTTCTCAGCAACTTGGTCAGTTACCAACCAGCAGTTGGTCTTTCAGACATTTCTGCGTGAATGTGTAGTGTGAAAATAGCGAAATGACCAGCATAGTGAGGATAGGTAGACTGGGATGATTGATAACAAATTACTAACATGGGGATCTTTATGCTAGCAAGTCATGAGAAGTCCTTTCTGCTTCATTTGTTGACTGGTTGATATAAATTTGGTATTTTATTTCTAAGCTGCTTTGTACAGATACTGTATAAGTTTGACTGTTTCAATCAGAACCATCTCAGTTTATGCATATCAATAAAAATTATTTTTAAATCCTGCACAATACATTTGCATAAGAGTACCAATGGATACTTCACCTCATATATAATTTTCCTTAAACTTAGTATCATAAAAACAGTTTATTCTTTGTTGGGAAAAATTGACAAAATACCTTACAATTGCCGACAAAATAATCTATTGATATCCATTTTAGTAAGATTGGAATGGTAAATAAATAAAAAATCAATTTGCAATATTTAGTTTAATCAATAAATAAACAGCATGTTATTCTACCTAAGTTACCCTTTCTTTGTCTCTCATATTTTGGAGCAATTCAATGAATACTTCATTTGAAAAAATAATACATTTGTCTGATCACAATGAAATTATCACATCCTTGATTTTTAGTTCACTGTTGGCTATCGGTTATTCAACATCTTTTAAAAATTCTATGAGATCATTAAAATTAAAATTAATAAATGTATTTTGTAGTACTATACAGCCCTTGCTTCTCAATAAATGTGAAGCAGGTATAGCACATAAAACAATACTCTTATGTTCTACTCCAAACAAATTGTTAGAACTGAAAAATGACGAGTGTGGTATTTGAGAAATAAGCTACAATAAAATATTTCTACGAATTTCTTATATCAAAAACTAAATTTTATACTAAACAAATTTTGAATGGACAAAATTTGATTTTAGTTTTTTTTATAAGGATGTCAAAATGCCGAATGCCAAAGTGATCAGTCTTTGTTTGTGTAGGATTGTTAATGTGAAAAAGTTTACAATCAACTTCTCCTTGCCATGGTGCTCGACCTGCTTGAGCCACAGCAGCTCCTCATATGGATGTTTCCGATAAATTCCATCCCAAAATTGTCACGGAACGGAGACGTCCCTGTAAACAAAAAAATTGGGCAGCATTATAATTTTGAATTAAAAGTCCAAACTGTTGAATATTAAAGATTATTTCCGAGAGATTTCCTTCAGGGTCTGCGAAATGATGAAAGTGGCCTTTTCCAATCGTTTTTGACTGCCTATCCTTACAGTTTTGTTCTGGCACTAATTGTCTTTTGTGCAATTGGAAATAGTTTATTTATGTGCAATTGACTGACCTGTGTGTCTGGACCTGACGAATCTGATAAATGGCGGTCTCTTGTTTCTTCTCTCTTTCTCTAACACTTTATGTTTGATCTCCCTCCACTTTGCCAATTTCGCTTCTCTCTCCTCCTTCGATTCTGTTGAATTAAGTTTATTTTACAGATCCACATCATATATTTTTCTGAATAATTAAATTAAACATATGACAGAGTTTTTATTTAATGTTCTTAATGGTTGAAGGCTTGCACTTTTTTCATGTTTGTGAATGTTTTTTTAAAAGTAGTGTCAAGTATTTTTTAATTTTAAGAAAAAGTTAACAAATAAAAGAGAAATTCGTCGTGCACTGTTACATAATAATTTTAACAAGACAGCAAGATGGAATATTATTTAACAATTTAAAGGAAAGCCCCTGGGGACAAGAAAAGGTTAGAAAATAGACTTGCTTCCTCGCTTCCTTAATTTAAAATTTTTTGAATGTGAGAAAAAATATACCTCTGGTTCTCGATCTGCTTGGCCTTGAAAATTTGTTTTTATCTGAAAATACAGACACCATTTAAAAAGTAATAAATGGGGATAAAAAAAATTAAAGAATTGCTATATTAATGTCTAATATTAGTCAGTTTAATTTTCAATTTACCCCTGAAACTTTCTGACATTTCCTTGAATGAATTTTCCAGTTTTTCAAGTTTATCTAGAAATGATGTATTTTTACTTATTAGACATTCATATATCATTTCGAAGCGTTCAAACACGTGTTTACCTTCAAGGGTTTTGGCGATCTCTTTGAGCGGTTCGAGTTCCTCTTTTGTATCTAGCCTCGTCAGAGGTGGTTTCGTATCTTGTGCTTCTTTGTCATGGTCTTCTGAAAATTATGTTTGTCGGTATCATGCAATCAAACCAAATCATCATATTTTCCCTCTTCAATTTTTTTATTTTGGAATGTTGCAATTTTATGGTGTACAAAAATGCAACTTGTAAAACTTTATCAATTTTTTTTTCAACAATTTTAATATTTATCAATTCTAGTTTTGGCTACATAAAAACCATATCAAAAATTGCAATTCTTACACCATATATTATAGTTCCTTTACCAGGTCGCTTATATTGAAAATCATTAATTCATAGATTCAAGCAATTATAAATGCAACTATTTTGTAGTTTTTCTAAATTAATTATATTTTACTGAAAATATATGTAACTTTTATTCATTATACCGTCAAGTTTTTTTTAATATTGTTAAATACGTGATTCAACCAAATTCAAAGCTGAGGTTAAAGAAATTATTTTATTTAAATTAATTACACTTTTTATTTAAAGTCTTGGTTCAGATGAAAAAGCTAGTGTCACAAGCGGGATTTGAGAACCCACAAACTTTGGCTTGGGGGTTCGAATCCTACTCGTGATACTAACTTTTCCATCTCAACCAAGACTTTAGATAAAAGTTGTAATTAATTGAAATAATTAAATAGGTCAATTATGGCTAAACATATAAGGATTAATAAAATAATTTATTTTTCTGAAAAATTTCAATTTTGTTTTTAGTATGGGCTTATCAGAAAGTGAGACAGTCTTCATCGCTTCGTTCACCTCTTTTATATCAATATGTTGGACTGAGCTCGGACACCAGATTCAGAAGAGGTGCAGTTTACCGGAAGAAATGGCCGAACACATCGTATCATTGATACACTCGCTCTTGATTATAGTGATGACCGGAGAGTGCCTTAGGAAGGAAAGGCCGTATTTTGACTACAAGCAGAAGACGAATATGTATGAGGAGCTGTGTTTGTTTGTGAGCCTCGGGTATTTTTTGTACGACACATGCAATTGGGAGTTCAGAGGCGATGTGTCGAGGATCATCCTCTCACACCACATTTGCACCCTGTTTGGAATGCTTCAGGCCCTTTCGGACAAGACATCGGGGGCTGCTTGCCTGATGTGCCTCTTGATATTGGAAGGTGGGAACCCTCTGCTCCACAACCGTAGGTTGATCATGATCGCCGGTCACATCCGGTCCGGTCTGATTTACCAAGTGATCGAGTGTTCCTTTTTCATTTTTTTCTTTTTATTCCGATTTGTTCTCGGCTTGAGATTCTTCAACTTTCTGATTGCCACAAAGGCCCCACACTACATGAGGATGACAGGAACAATGATGTTAATGATTTCCATTGTGTTTTTTAAAAAAATGCTGGAACATTTAATTTCAAAGGTAGTGTATGTTTACTCCTATTTGAAAAAGATCCGTTTCAAAAATAAACCATCTTAATGTAACGTTTTAAGAATGTTAATTTTTATAAATAAAATTAGAATTATATTGTTATGTTCACCTTAACCTTAAAATTAAGATTTGATGTATTAAGAAACAAATTATTTACCTGAAATACCATTTTTATCAATGAGTGATGCTGCACCAATCCCTGTAATAGTAACATTTGTTGAGATGTAATCAATTATTGGTATTAACACAAATGTTGAACCTTACCAGCTGTGGCTGCTAACCCTGCTGCTGCTATGGCTGCTGGTGCTATTAAGGACTCAATATTTCCTACAAATTTTTAAATAATAATCAACTATTTATGTTGCCAAGTGAATGTCAAAGCCATTAATTCATTCAAAAAATAAGTCCACTCCAATCATGAGGACATCTAACAAGCAGGACAACAGATTTAATATTTACCTTCATCATGTGGTAGCTTCTCTTCTATTTCCGGAGATTCATTGGGTTCATCAGCCAGTTGTTCTGCCACTTCTGTTTCATCTATTTCTACAGCTTCTGATTCCTTAGATTCTTCCTCCTCCTCCTTTTCAGGTTTATCGTCTTCCTCTGTTTCTTCTTTATTTTCCAGTTCCTCGACCTCCTCTTCTGGTTCCTCCTCAAGTTCTTCTACCTCGGGTTCTTCCTCCTCTTCAACATCTTCAGTTTCTTCCTCCGGTTCATCTTCCTCTTCTATTACCTCAGGTTCATCATCGGTCTTTTCTTCGTCCTCAGGTTTTTCTTCTTCTTCGGGTTCTCCATCACCATCTTCTTCAAGTTCTTCTTCCTCCTCCTCTGGTGCTGCTTCTTCCTCGGGTTCTTCTTCATCCTCCTCTATTTCTTCATCAAGCTCTACTTCCTCCTCCGCAGGTTCTTCTTCATCTTCTCCGTCGGGTTCTTGTTCCTCCTCCTCAGGTTCCTCTTCAACTTCTCCCTCGGGTTCTTGTTCCTCCTCCTCAGGTTCTTCTTCTTCCTCAGGTTCTTCTTCCTCCTCCTCAGGTGCTGCTTCTTCCTCGGGTTCTACTTCTTCCTCGGGTACTTCTTCTTCCTCAGGTTCTTCTTCACCTTCTCCTTCAGGTACTTCTTCCTCCGCCTCCGGTTCCTCTTCATCTTCTCCTTCGGGTTCTTCTTCCTCCTCCTCCACAGGTGCTTCTTCTTCCTCGAGTTCTTCTTCTTCCTCAGGTTCTTCTTCATCTTCTCCTTCGGGTGCTTCTTCTACCTCAGGATCTTCTTCATCTACTCCTTCGGGTTCTTCTTCCACCTCCTCCTCAGGTGCTGCTTCTTCCCCGGGTTCTTCTTCCTCCTCGGGTTCTTCATCCTCCTCTTCCTCAGGTTCTTCTTCTTCCTCGGGTTCCTCTTCATCTTCTCCTTCGGGTTCTTCTACTTCCTCCTCAGGTTCCTCTTCCTCCTCCTCAGGTGCTGCTTCTTCCTCGGGTTCTACTTCTTCCTCGGGTACTTCTTCTTCCTCAGGTTCTTCTTCACCTTCTCCTTCAGGTACTTCTTCCTCCGCCTCGGGTTCCTCTTCATCTTCTCCTTCGGGTTCTTCTTCCTCCTCCTCAGGTTCTTCTTCCTCCTCCTCATTTCCTTCTTCTTCCTCGGGTTCTTCTTCCTCCTGCTCAGGTTCTTCTTCTTCCTCCGGTTCCTCTTCATCTTCTCCTTCGGGTTCTTCTTCCTCCTCCTCAGGTTCTTCTTCTCCCTCGGGATCTTCCCCCTCTTCTTCTTCCGGTTCTTCTCCTTCCTCTACTTCTTTATCGTGTTCTTCGGCTTCTTCTTCCTCACCCTCTCCATCATCACTTTCAGGTAGTGCTTCATTCTCCTCTTCTGATTCTTCTTCAGTTGGCTCTTTTTCTTCTTCTAGTTTTGGTTCTTCCTCTGGTCCGTCTTCTGTAGCTTCTATGAATTCGTCATCACTTTCAAACTCTTCTGATTCACTTGAAATATCTTCAAAATTATCTGAAATCAAATCATGAATTATGTCTTGTATATTTTTTTACAATTTTACGTTAGGTTTACAATTACCTTCCAATTCTTCCCAATTGTTGTCTAACAATTTTTTCAGTCGATCATATCTGGTGTTTAAAACTGCTACCTAACTCCCAAAAGAAAATTAGTTGGTTAGTACTAGTATTTTTATTTGGTTAATGGTTATTATCGTTTCAATCCAGTTTTTATATTTTCGGTTAAACATGTTTATTATACTTTCTTTCTTACCTCTTGCTTAATATCAATCCAGTTTTCTTCAAGCTCCTCTGGAGATAGATCCCCATTCTCACAAGCTTCGATGGATTCTTCGAATGACTCAAACTTTGTGTCGAGTAACTGGTTTGTGTCTTCAATCACGGAATTGATCTCTTCCAAAATATCATCAGGAATGTCTTCCTCATCTCTCACTGCTTCCCATTCATCCGCCAAGTAAACAAGCCTTTCCGTCTCTTCTTCCAGTCTCTCTCTAAACACATTGAAAAATTAGTATCGCAATGCTTCTTCCTTATCCTTATTATCCTTATAATCCTTATTTTGTCTATTCACCTCTGCACTGTAGGGTCTTGTGGTATTATTTCATGCTGTTCTGCTGGTAGACCTATAACGGTTAATTTATTATTTATCCCATATTTAAAATACATATAAAAAATTTAATAAGCGCCACACGTTTGTTTTTCTATTCGTTCGTGTATGTGTGTTCCTATATCTTTGTTATTCTTGCTCGATCTTCCTTTCACCAGATTTTCAAATTATTCAAAGGACTCACCTTTATGGGGTACGAGAACGACAAGAGGGCTGCATCCGACGATAAGGAAAAACCCGATTTTCAACACAGTGGACAACTCTTCGTCGCTGGCCAAGAAACTCAGCCCTCGGCAAGACCAACGACAACAAAGAACGCAATAGACAAATAGAAAATAAAGCAGAACACTCTCTTCTAATAGAAATATCAGCCTGGTGTATTTGCTAAGGATCCAGGCCCTTATGTTCGACCGATATTTACAAGGGGCGCAGAGATATAATTGAATTGTGAAACACCCTAAATCTGCAAGTAAATTGGATACTCTCTAAAATTGTACAGATAGTTGAAAACATTTGAATTATTTCTTTCTTGTGTGTTTATAGTTAATGAGTCGGTCATGAGGGAAATTCTTTTAAAACTATAATTTTACTCATTTTTCAAGGTTAGAATTCATAAAATAGTTTGCCTTCAGTTTCAGTTTTCTCGCGTACACTGGCAAAAGATAAACGAGATAGCAAAATTATTTCGCTTGTGCGTTTCAAATTTTCAAAATTTTCTTTACTTGATAATATAAGCTGTGTTAATCTTTAACGTGGCCTAAAATCTTTACTTTATCTATGGGGACATTATGCTCTTGTGTATTATCATCGTATTCTGGAGTAAATTAGTTGAAATTTTATGTAGTACTTGATTTTCAATATAGGTGATAATTTTAAATCCTTTTTTTGGAAAGATGTCTGAAAGATTTATCACGTTTTAAATCTCATACGGAGAAAAGTAGTTTTAGCTAAAATCATACTTTTCCGACAGCTCGAAAAACTGATAAACCCTTATTTTTTCCTTATGTTCTAGAATCTATCTGGCCAATCATGATTCTTTTGTAAACTTTACTCTTACCTACCAACTCGCCTAGATCGAAATTTAAACATTTTATATTTTTGGGAAGACATTTTAAGTAATACACATGTAGTGTTTTAACTTCAAGATGGTTTTTAAGCCCCTTTCCGTTTCTAATGCTTCAGTACCAGCTATAAAATAAGACAGAAACTAGTCTCAAAATCACAAATTTCTTCGACATTTTGAATTTAGGGTCGTTTACGGTGGGTCGTAAGGCCAGGAAGGAGGAAGGTGGAAAAAATGAATCACTTTTTACTGATATTTATGAAATTTGACTCGGCGTAGAAGAACAAGTTCAGGTCTGTGATAAACCGAAACGTCGAGGTCCGGCAAAAGTTTCTGACACGATTACACCCAAGTGCCAAATTTCGGCATGAACTTTCCTAAGAAAGATAAAACTCTTGGGATCCTTTTTGCCCACGTATGAAAAAGCGATCCCTCCCCGGGAGAACTTATGCAATTGGTCCTGGAGAACAGAATCCACCTCTCGCCACACTCATCGCCGGCAACCCGTCAAATTCGCACAAGTACAAACTGGAGAGTATAACATGAGACTTTTTATCGGCTTCAGCCTTCTTATCGTCGCTCAGTTAAGCGTGAGTCTTAATTTCCTTACATTCCTGTTTAGACCACATCAGAATTGAAATTTTCAACTTTTTTTTTTAAATAAAATCTCAACACAAAAATGTTTATAAGTTTGGAATTCAAATTTGTTTTATTTGGCAGTAATATTATTAGGTACTACCTAATAACAATTAAAGTTTATGGAACAACATGTATTCCACTCTGTTATAAAATACTTATTTTCCTCACATTTCCATTTTTGTTTTAGTTTGAGGAATAAACATAGCAACTAGCTTCTTCCTTGCTTTCTAATAACAAATTATGTTCTATATTTAGTTGGCATTTTCCTAATAAAATTCGTTCGCGTCTTCAGAAGGTGAACAGATGAAAGAAAGTAGAGCGTGACTTCACGTATGGATTTCTGAAAGTTCTTCCTCGAATTCTGATTGCAAGGCGGCAGCGGTTCTCCTTGACTGATGAGCCCTATCTCCCTGATTTTCTGAAAGCTCGATTTTACACCTTTTCCTCGCCTAAAAACGGGTGCGAATCCAGTTTTCTTTGCGTTTTCCTAAGAACTCATACAAATTTTGCAATTCGCCCTGATCGCGTTTCTGTAGACGAAAACGTAACGGTTTAATTAATTAATTAAATCCGAAGAAACGACTGGACAATTAATTTAATTTCTTGATTGATATTTAACAGTTATAATATTTTTAAACGTTTTTGATTATTATGAATTTTAAAAAAAGGCATGCCACGCACTCACCATTAATCCGGTCCGTTTTCTTAAAATCCAAGACTGGAGGAAGATCAATTTAACCTATAGCAAATAGCTCTCGAAAAAAAATTTTTCAACGAAAACTGTAAAATCTTTACTCGTTTAAGGTGGAAAGTAGATGAAGAAATTTAATGTTAGCTAATTGTCCCATAAAACTGGACTTTTTTACGCAAAATCCAATTTCAAAATATTTTGCTCTTTGCAAATTATTTATTATTGTTATGCTGTCATTTAGAAACATGGGAGCATAATCAACATCGAGCATAACATCAGATAATAAACGACGAATAAACCTTCCATGTTTACATCATCAATCTTGATCATCGTGATTACATATTTTCATTTTCGTTTCTCCTCCGGCTAAATGTGATATTTGTAAACCGGGGAATTTCATTTATCTTCTTCTCAATTCATTGAGTCGTTTAATGACTTAAAACGATTTGTTTAAAGTTTACGACATTCAGTAATCAAAAAAGGTTTAGATTTATTTGGGTTTTTTTGTGGTTTTGCAACATCATATTGTTAGTTGGATAATATGATATCTAGTCTATATGTTCAATAAAGAAGATAATGATTTTTATATATTTACTCGTTTTAATCATTAATTATTTTACTGTTTTATTAGTTTACTCTTTTATTAGATTAAATGTTTCTTTTTTCGTTTTATGATGCTCCTTCATACTTATTGACACATCTCTGGTTTTTCTATTAACATTATTACGATACTGCTGTGTTTTAGTAGTCTGTAAATAAATAGTTTTGTATTAAGTTGGGATAGTAGGGCTCATTAGTCACAACAATTTCCTCGTTTTGTTTTATTTTAAATTCACAACATGTTTCGGTCCTCGGACCTTCTTCAGGTGAAAACTATTTGCTCTCTTTTGTAATTCTCACCTGAAGAAGGTCCGAGGACTGAAACATGTTGTGAATTTAAAATAAATCAAATAGAGGAAATTGTTTTGACTGATGAGCTCTATCTTAATTTAATTCAAATCTTTTATATTTAATAGTTCTTATTCTTCCATACTATTTGCTTTATGCAATATATCTACATTTTGCTCATTTATATACTTTTTAGTTAAAATTTGAATTTATCCTTTTTTTAATAGTTCGCTAATTTGATATTTATAATTTACAAAAGAATGAGCGAACAAATTATTCATAATTTAACAACTTTACTTATAAATTTTTCAGTATATCACATTTTCTTAATTTAAACTGTTTTCCCAATAATATGATTTTGTCTTGTTGTTCTGTGTAGGCCTCAGTTTATCGTCTAGAAACGTTAATTTAATACTTTTGATCGTTACTCGCGCTTGTTCAAATGGCATCAATTTTTAACTAACTAAATACGATAAATACTCTAGGCATAAATATTGTAAGTCTTTTTAATTTGAAGTTTAAGATGTATTGTAAGAATCAGAAAGGGGGTGTCAGTGCCTGTCATCCCTGTAAGGTAAAGGTCCCGGGATCGAATCCAGCCACCCTGCATACTTACAAATGGGCTTTTTTCAAAAACACCAGAACCCCGAGGGTTAATATAACCTCGTAGTTGAAATATCCTCGGTAAATAAATTAAATAAAATATAAATAAATAAATCTTTAAAAAATCTATTTTAAAAAAAAATCAAGGCTTTTGAAATTAGGGAAGTGGTGTGCTACAGGGATACACAGTTTTGCACAATTTTTACTTCTGACATGACCACAGACGAAAATGTACTTACCGTCACATACTCAGATGACACCTCCATAAAAACAAGTTTAAAATGCTAGATTTATCCACCATCTTTTTACGAATAATCTGGATCTGCAAACTTTCGACCTATTTTAACGACATCATCAAGGCAAAACAATTTTAAAGATGCCTACAAATTGACATAATTCAGTTTTTAATAGATAGTTTCTATTAAAACGATTAGTTAATAGACCGACTCAGAACTGACATTGCCAAGGACTCGGAAAAAAATGGCAGATAATAATTATTCAATTTGTTTTTTTTTCATCCACACTATACCCAGATCCAGATTAATCGTGGTATTAATTAATAAGCTCTCTTCTATACAAGTTTCCCTTACGCTTATGCTGCCCCATATTTCATATCGTCGTTGAAAAATGAAGCAATTTTTGGAAAATAAAATTAAGTGTGGCTGGCAATGTGTGGCTTCCTCTGTAACGCCAATTATCACATTTACAAAATAAAGATCGAATGTACTGGTTATGATAATTATACAGTTGTAGATAGACAAATGAAGGTTTAAAAAAATATGAAATTATTGAAAAGAACTGTCATTTCAGTGGCATCAACACGACACATTTGTCGTGCCAACGTTTCGATCTTTAATGAGATCATCTTCAGGGCTCAAAGTGTTTGTTTTCCGATGTGCCATTCTTGTGTGTCGTGTTGAGAGTGCCAGTGGCACACAAGAATGGCACATCTAAACGGAAAACGAACACTTTGAGCCCTGAAGATGATCTCAATAAAGATCGAAACGTTGGCACGATAAAGAAAATGTTTTTCTAAAACCTACGTCACACCAGATCGCATCTCACGATCTCCGAATAATGGTAGACTAACGGTCACTAAACACCACACATTATTAGAATATAAATTTCTTTTGACTTACAAAGGTTTTATTATATTGGTCTTGCCATTTCATATTATTTTACTATACTTTTCAACAGCGTTAAAAGATAATTCAAGTACAAAAAATTATCCAATCTAAGAACAGAATAGAAAAGCAAATATTTAAGTGTCTTTTTAGTACAAAACACTAAGTTAACGGACAGCATGAGCTACATTTTTTTTAAATAAATTGATTCGGTACGATTGTGTATAATTCGGTTAATAGTATCCGGAAATTTCTCTACGAGGAAATCAAACAAATTGTACAGGCTTATATCACGCATGATGCATAATACCCAGCAATCCTAATTACAAATTGGCAGTAATAAAGACGGGAGCCTGTTTATTGAGGCGTGCCTCGAAAAAGTCTCCGGTTCTCCAATTGAATTGTCCGATAACTAACACATTCTAATACAATTCTCGAAGAAAAAAAAGCTAATTTAGTTGTTTTTGCAGGTGTGCGAATGTGGAATCCGGGTTAAAAGGCAAAGCGGCCCGCCGATCGCAACGGGCGAAGTCATCAACTCCATCTTCCAGGTATCATTTTGCAAGAAGTAGCACAAGCACGCCTTATTCGTCAAGTGCAATTTTTAATGGGGTTGTTTAAAACTTACCAGTGACTGCAATTGTTTAATAATTAAAGCTATATTCATAGACGGAATGCACATATGCCTAAAGAAACAGTAGTTGAGAGAACAATTTATTATTTTTCTTCCTCGGTCCCTTTTAAAATTTAAATGATAGTTTTATAAAATTTACGAAACAATCGAAAAATTTTGTTTTTCCAAAAGTGGACTGTTAGAAAGTGGAAATGATGCAACATCTCCCACGTTTGAGTTTTGTCATCCGCCAACACGGGCGCGATGCAACTTTTCCCAAAGGAAGGAAACGCTATTCCGATATTTACTGATAAAATGATATAATGTTTTTTTTTCTTAGATGTATTCTACAAATTATGTCATATTTAGAAAAGTTAAAAATTCAAAAATCTGGGCGTATAATGATCGAGCTGTGACAGTTGACCATCACCCCATCCCTTTTCTCGACCTAATAAAACCCAATCTTTAACGAGAACAACCGTCTTAATGACATCAAATGATCATTTAAAAATCCCATTTATTATTGAAGAGGTCGTTGCTGAACAAAATTAACCTTTCTAACACCAATTAAGGTTTTTCTTAAATGAACTACGTTATTAAAAAACTAATCTTCAACGGATACTCGCTGTTGTTGCGAAAATATTTTCAATTTTCAGTTTTCGAATTTAAACCCAATATTCTATATGAACTGTTATTTTAGAAAAAAAATTCTTATTTTACACAAAAAGTTAATAATAGTTTCGCTTTAATGTTTCACATTTCCCCTTACCAATTTTCTCACTTCACGTTAATAATTTCTGTCATTTGGATAGAACGAAATAGAAAAATAATTAATTAATAATTAAATAGAAAAGAGGTTTGTGTGGTGATTTGTTCGAAAGTGAAAATGTTTTGTTTTTAATCAGTTTTAAAGAGTTTTTGATGTGTAAGTTACTTGTTTTTAGTAGACTACCTGTAATCTTGTTTACTTTTTAATGACACTCAAGCACGCCCTCATCATTGAAGAAACTGTGTTTTAGTTTTTAGTGTTAGATGTCTCCACCTCTTTTTTACTTACGAATAATCTGGATCTCTGTATGGCCTAGATGAAAAAACAAATTCTGCCCAGCTTTCGATCTATATTGAGGTCATCATCAGGGCAAAAAATGTTTAAAATGTCTACAAACATAATTAAGTTTGTAATAACTGGTTTAATTTTTTTTAACACAGGCTCTGTCCCAACACTGCCAAAGGCTGTAACACTCACCATTCATTACATACTTAATCACGTCAATTTGTAGACATCTTTTGGATTGTTATGCCCTGAGGATGACCTTAAAATAGGTCGAAAGCTTGGCAGATAACAATTGATTTTTTTTCCTTCAAACCATACTTAAATCCAAATTATTCGTGTACAACAGACAAGCCACCGGGATCACAGTTATGGATTTGTTAGGATGGATAAGCGTCCGTAGTTTGGCACCAATAACATTAAGCATTTCCCATAACATTACAAGTAGATGTACATAGACCCTGAAGAACAAAATTTGCAAAAAGCTTAACCAAAATGTTGAAAATATAATAAACAGTCAACTTATTTCAAATTTAAATTCTACCCATTAGAGTTCGTGGTCCGATTGACCAAATAACATTCTTCAATTAATTATTCTTTATGTATGGTATTGGTTGAGATAAAACAGTCGTTGTCACGAGCGGGATTCGAACCCACGACATTCGTCTAAATACGCCGCTGCTCTACCACTTGAGCTCCACTTGAGTTCCACTCGGACACCAACTTCCCATTTCAACCCACCCTTCGAATCTTCCCTCCTGTTTACCATCTTTAAATTCTATGTTTGAGCAATTTGATATTTTACTTTATATATACACTTTATATTAATGATAAACATGCGATGAATACATAATAGTGTATGTAACGATGAAAAAGTCAATTTCACCTTATATACGTTATCACGGCACTCGTAATTATTAAATCGCCGAAACTTCAAAACGTTTTTTAATCCACTACTCAAAATGGCGAAACGCTGAACTCTGTACGACCAAACCAAAAAGAGGACTGGTGGACAAGGATGAAGGAAAAGGACGAAACTACTGTGTTCTTTGGGTGCAAATTTACTTATTAAATACCATTGCGCAATGGTCTCTTGTGATGAACCACATAGAAAAGGTTCTTAATAAGCCCGGCTGAATAGAAAAGGAGAATCGATCCGCGTTGTTGGATCGACGGAATAATTGATTGCCCAGTGTTACGTTAAACTGCGTTCTTTATAAGCTAATGTATCCCCTGATTTATAAATTTTACTACTTAAGTTGGTTGCACTGGTTATTTCTTTTACGGTTGTATTGCAGGTATCAAAAGCCTTTCTTCCTGCAGCGAAGTCTATCACCACAGTCAGTGTGTTGCGGTTTGCTCTGCCTCTTTGGAAAACACGCACGTGTTGGTTGACGTCCATTTTTCTCAGATGTCTAATGAGATGGCAATGCCTGCTGCATTCTCTAATTTCTTCCCTTTCAAATATAACAATTGCTTGTGTCCATTCCTCGATCTTATATTCTCTTGTTCTCTGGTTGTATGATTTTCTTTCCCACAAAAGATCATCAAAAGCTACTTCGTTTGCCTAACCTTCTGTGTTTCTTAAACTAAACATCCGCTCTTTAACTAATGTCCTTGAACCTCGTAGAGAATGATTCTGATTTGCACCTAACTTAATCACTTTGGACTTGTTATTGAGAACCTCATCAAGCTGATGATGCTGCCGAAAACCCGACGGTTTTTACAACCTGTTCAAATTCAAGTATATCTCCGAACTACGTGGACTAAAGGTAGTCTTGAGATGCTCCAGTCCCTGCCCTTCTGCTTCTTAGGTCTAACGCTGATTTTGGTGTTGGTCTGAAGGTTTTGGTTAAATCAAAATATCATGTTCAGGTCATGAGTATCGGATATTCTCCCATCCTTCTACTTTTGATAAAGAGGATATTCTTTGTATACGAAGACAGAAGTACCTAAGAAACCTTTCAGTATCAAAACCGGCATGCCTCCTGAGCACAAGGACCAAGCAATTTAAACATTTACCAGTTAAAACATATAAAGAATATGCCTGTTTCTTGGATTTTTGACTTTTAACGTACTTTAATAATAAATATGGCATATGGCACCATGCTCTGGAGGTTTGGTTCTTCACGATACGATTGTATTCATAGTTAACAAAAGCTACGACGTGAATGTTGCAGATCCCCATCCAAACGTTGAACGCGGTGCGCGACCTGTTCCAAGCGACGCGTACACGTGTGCAGGCGATCGCCCAGGCGACGCAAACCGCATACCAGCAGCATCCCAACCACCGACCAAACCCGCACTTCTCATACGACAAGGGCTTCTACAACAGCAAGGCCCTCGTCCAGCCGAACGAGAACAAAAAGCGGAGATACAACGATTAGTCAAATAGTGTCAGTCAATTCGTTTATTACTCAAACTGTAACAGTTTACCTTTTTTTGAATAAAAACTAAATGATCTTATTTTTATTACTCTTATTATTATTTTTATTATTACACCGTCATATATGAAACCAATAAAAAAATTATTTTACAAACGAAAAGGGTTCGTCCATTGACTTCAATTTGTTCAACATAGCCAACAATTCATCCTATAAAATTGCATCATTTGTAAATTTTTCTAGTTAATATTTTAAAGAAATTCAGAGATAAATAACGAAAATTTACTTAACAAACGAAAAAAAACAGCTAAATAACTATGCACTGAACTAATAAAAACATATTTTAATTTATTTATATTTTTTTAATGCAATGTATGGTTAAGTAAAAAAATTAGTGACACAGCAGGACTAGAACCCGCTACATCCGGAATGACTTGATCGTAGAGCAGTAGAGCGCCAGGGTACTGATCCGGATGACATGGGTTCGAGCCCTTCTTGTGACACTAATTTTTCACCTCGACCTTACTTTATACTTTACATAAAATATAATAAATCGTTTTTAAAAAAATTACCTTGGTTAATATGATCAACTAAAATCTATATGTTAATGATTTTGGTGTTAATCACTAATTTCACACAATTTTTCTAAAAATGTGTTTTATTTACGCAATGTTGAATCATTTACGCTGATTGCACTCAGGCACTGACACAAACGTCATTTAGTTCGTAATCATGCTGGTCACAAATGTGCAATCAGTGTAAATATATTCGACATTGTGTAAATATTATAAAATCATTAACACTTGGTCCTTCGGGCAGGATCATTTATCTTGTTTACTAATTTATACGTATTTATTATTTTATTATCTTTTGCGATCAATTTAAACTGAATGTCATCGATGTTTTCTCTATTTTCAAGTTAAACAGATAGATACATTTTCCACTAGCATTTCTATCTCAATTTGAATGTCGTCCAAATCATCTCCGATCGTTTGCAAATTTACTGAAACTTTTTCCTAATTTAATTAACATATCTTCTTTGCCCACATCGCCCGATTCTAGCAAAGGTACCATTTTATATAAGTAATTACTAAATTGAGTTTGCTTCGTGATAATAACATTCCTCTTTTTTATTAAAAAAGAATATTCGCTAATTCGAATCTTTCCCTAGTGATCGAAAGAAATTTTTGAAACACAACGGAATAAGGAAATACAGGTAGAAGTAAGATGGATGAAAATAAACGGAATACAGTCACTTATATATTTTTTAAAATAATTTATTAAAATATATTGCTACTTTGTAAAGAAATTATTTTTATAATGTCATAGAAACAATGTCTTATCAATATAATCTTTAGATATAGATAGATAGAGATATACTAATGAAATACAATAGCCTTTAAATATTCATTCATTAAAAAATTTACTCTAAAAAATTAAAAAGAATAAAACAAAACAAATCTTTTTGATCGAAAGGACTGCATAAATTTTGTTCAATCATTATTCGAAAAACTGTTTTTGTTTAGGCCCTACCTTACTGTTATCATGATCATGAGTATCATGAACTCATGACAGAACTCTTAGTGAATAAACAGGTATCTTACTGCTTCTCTTTGCGCAATTCGGCCAGATTTGCGAAATCTCAGCCTACGCTCGACACCAATTCTGATTGGTGAACAGTTTTCCATCGGCAATATGTAGATTTACGTATTTACTAGGGACGTTTGGGTCAAAAAGGCGTTTTGAAATTTAAATATCTGTCTGTACATCGGCTGCCAAGAAACGCTTCAAATTAACTATACTATAACAATATTGATTTAAAAAATAATAATGGAAGAAATAAAGTGTTTAGATTTGTTCTAGTTTCTCTTTGAAATTGTGCAATTGGCCAGCTTTCTTTTATCTTGCGAACGAAGCCCCAGATCTTTAATTGCGTGTCTCTACACTCTACTTTGCTATTGAAGTGTTAGGATAAGTAATTGATTTTAAATAAATAACGACAGCAATGTTAATCCCGATATCAATCCATAGAAACACAAGAATTGTAGACAAACACACAAACTACAAAAACGTATATTACAAATACAGTTGGTCTTGCTAAATCAAAGGGTCAGACAAAAAGTAAAAAAAAAAAACGAATGGCCCGAATTTTACACACATATATTTAGAAACATCCGAATTCAACCGGATATTGAATGCACATTTGAATTTTGTACCAATTGTTTAAGTATTTTTATTATAGTGTATAAAATGTGAGTGTCTTTGTTTGAATTGGTAGATGGTTGTACGGTAGTTTTAAAAATTAATGCATGCAGTTTTAGCAATGTAAATATGTTGTACATATTTTCAACTAGTACAATAAAAATATTTAGCTTTGAATTGAAAATAACGCACGTATTAATTGGAATATTAATTTTTATGGCTAACTGTTTCCGTAACTATGCTTTGAAAATATAACCAAACTAGATAATTTGACGTTTCCAATACAAAAACGTGTTCTTGATTAATAGAAGAAATATTTTAATTAATCGATATAATATTTATTTATACAAATGAACTAATTGCAATTTTCGTACATTAATGCAAAATATTTGGTTGCTGGGTAAAAAAATAATCTTTTAATATGTGGTTTATGTTTTATGTTTAATAATGATTGTTGCTAAATTATGCGAAATCAAGACGATTAATTAAAATGATTAGGTATTATCGATAATAATGACTTCTTAATGATAATATTCTTTTATGATAATAATTCATGAAATTCTTTTCATACAGGAGGAACGTCCAACGACCAGTTGGGTGTCGCCGTCGAAGGGTCAAAACAATTTACAATGCAAAATTATTAACAAATAAAATTTCAAAACTATGCCGGGATTCGAACCCAGAACCGCTACCGTGGCAAATACTTGTCGTACGTTCAAATAACTCGTCCACGTAGTAGTCCAAGTAGTTCTACTAGTCATTCAGTAGGGCTTAATGTCCAAGTAACTATTGAATGAAGGGTCAGATCCACTTTACATATTTTTTTTTATATTATGAACAATTAAAAAGCATTGACTATGCCTTCATTAAACCTAAAATTACTCAGAACCGATAGCTTGGTAAATTCTAGTCGTACCTTATATCGAATTGTTTCGTCAATTCATCAATATACACTCAAAGTCAACCCGACATAGAAATGGGCTTTTTTTCAAAAACATCGATACTCTGAGTGAGATATGACTTCTGCTGTTGGAAAGACAAAAAAAGGCGTATTACCTCCTCCGGCATTGCGGGGTCTTAAGTTCCTAGGCATCGATTAAATAAGCGACCGGATTAAAGAACGTCCTCAGTGTACCTGAGTGCAGCCAAAGATCTATTCTGTATAACGTCCTCTCCACAAACAGTGGGTCATCTGATTCCCACTCATCTGTGAAGAGAAAAGCCGCCGTTGTTCCAGTGCCCAATTATGTGCGAATAGTCGCCTATCTACTCGATGCCTCTCCATTACTGGAGAATCTGATGCAGGACGTCTAGAGACTAGGCTATTCTTTTGAAGCCTTCTGATGACTATTTTACAGTTCACCTTAACGTTACGGACCATTTGGAGTTGACTCCTATGAAGGAAGCGGTTAAATGACGGTCAGTAGCCATAGTATCGCGATCGACCACTACTTTCTCCTCAATCGAGACTTCCGGTGGCCAAAAACTTTGTAGGCAATCGTGGATGGTAGTCCACAGCAAACACAATCCCCGGTTCGAATCCAACGGCCGTGCATTCCAAACCCACATAATAACAAATATGTTGTGTTTCTAAACACCGGCACCTCGAGCATTTCAATAATCTCACCACATCACTTTCGTAAAAAACTTACTCAAATTTCAACTCAATCATCAAAGAAAAGGGTTTAAAAAACCAATTAACTCACTCGACAAGTTGGCTCTGTAAAAAATGAAATAGAACTGATTTTCATTATTTTTAATCTAAACAGTATAAAAGGATTAGTAATTCTCTATAACTGTAAACAAAAAGTTATTATTGTTGTGTTTACATTTTAAGTCAAATATTAATCTTTTTCGAAAAACGTCGGGGTGTTTTTGAAAAGAAAGGCCATTCATTATATGTCGGGTTCGAACCCGGTACGGTAATCTTACATTGATGAGTGCCGTGTCAACGCCTAAACCGTTGCGGTCTCCGACGCGCCCCAAAATTAATCTTTATACCTAGTTATTATGAAAAGTGAACAGGTAATGGACATGATAGTTATTTGGTTTGAAATGTACAGTTCCCAAAGTTTGTTTCTGTAAAAGGGTGCAGAGAAACGGGAGATGAGAAGTTTATATTTTTTGCCTAAATGCATGGGATCTTAGTTTTGCACTTTGGTTACGTTTTGAAGTAAGTACAGCATGTCTTTATTATTTAAAAATGTAAATAAATGGCATAAATTCTACAGTCTTAAATTCCAGGTTCCTTTAAACACGCTGGGATCCGTGAATCGGCTGTTCCAGGCGTCCAGGAGGCGGATTCAAGCACTGCAAACGGCACAGGGTCAAGTCGGTCAGCTTGGAGGCAATCTGCAGCCTGCTGCGGGTCAGCTCGGCGGCGTCTTCGGCGGCTCCAACTTCCAAGGGCTGCCAGGACTATTCGGAGGTGCTGGAGGCGGAGGGGCGAAGCCGATCAGACCCGTCCAAAGTGGTGGTTTCGGAGGATTCAAACCGCACAAACACCACCACCACCACCATCAGCATCACGGCCTCTTCTCTAACAAAGAAATCCTACAACTAGCAACTTGGATGATACTGCTATAAATCTTACCAACACTCGTGCTATTGAGGAATTTGGAAATACTTATTTACTTGACCTGTTATTTTTCAATTTATTTAACGAAATAACAGGTTAAATTTAAATTAGCATTGGATTCGGTCCAAAGGTACAATATTATTTCTGGTATAAAAATTTAAAAACTTCCTGTAGTACAAAATTTTTCAAATGTGAAAACTGATGAACTTCAATAATATTGAAACTAAGAAGCGCCTAAATAATTATAATATATATAATATGAGAAGACCTGAACTCCCTTTTTACTTTCAAATTTTCGATTTTACATT